TGGTGCCCGCTGTCGGTGAATTACTGGTTGTGAGCTCAGCTAAGCCAGGGCAAGTTCAGCCACACAGTAGCGTCACCCCCTCCCCCTCCCCCCCCAATCGTTCATCAATACGCATATCAGCAGGCAACGCTAATCTATCGCCCACGGCCGAACCGCAACTCTGAACGAAAGCTTACTCTATCGCCACGACCGAAGCTGCTTACTCTGAACGAAGCTTACTCTTAGTGAAGAGTTTCGAGACAACTGAGGTCACTGGAAAGGTTTCTGGTGCTGGCACTGTTTCTGGCACTGTTTCTGCTATGGAAACTGGCAAGAGTTCTGCCGCGGATAGGCGCATATCTTAATCAAACATCGTGCCATGCTGACCAAGACTATTCCAAACGCCAGCAGAAACGTGCAACACTGCAATCAGCTGCATTCACTGCTTACGACATTGTTGTATGGCATATGAATCCATCACCTTTATGCCGCCCCACCAATTCAAGATACCATAAGATATTAGGGTGGCCACGCTTGGCCGTGATTGTTAAATATCTCCCCTGTCACACTGAAGACATAAACGCTTTCAAAGAGCGATATGGATGGGGCCACGACTCACCATTAAGTCAGGAGAAAGGCATGATCTGTTCGATGAAAATCAAATTTCCAGAGCCTCATGAATGCGGTCACCGCCTGCAAACTGCTGGCCTGGGTCGTAACCGCCTGTCGCGCCGCCGTTACTAGGCTACTGCGGCCGAGGTGGCGTACAGCCAGGTCACAGTTATCGGAGGGAAGCTGTCACACCGCGGGAGAGACGCGCGCGGACGAGCCTGCGGCGGTCGGAGGGGCGGGGGGAGTGGAGGCAGCACGTATTCAGCCTCACCGCCGAGTCGTCCTGCCAAAGCGATGCGTTTTAAACGAGTCGGGTGTCAGTTGGAGGCGTTTCATTCTCCATTCTACGAGTAGAGCCGCCCATGGCCTGTCTGGCGGCCCAGCTTTGTGTGCGAGTTAAAGGGGGCAGGGGAGCAGACCGTACGCCGCGGCGCTGGCTGACCGCAAGCATCCTGCTGCGACCAGCAGCGGCTGCCGGCTTCTCTCGACGGGCGCCGAGTGGCCGGGGCAGCGGCTGCCGGCCTTCTCTCGACGGGCGCCGAGTGGCCGGGGCAGCGGCCACCGGCCTTCTCTCGACGGGCGCCGAGCAGCCGGGGCAGCGGCCGCCGGCCTTCTCTCGACGGGCGCCGGGTGGCCGGGGCAGCGGCCGGCCGGTCGGCCGTACATCCGGCGGCGCGGGCGCGAGCCAGCCCGATGTGCCGATGCCGTGCGCTGGCTGACGGCCGCGCCGCCATGCCGCTCGGTAACGACCGCCAGCGCCGCCGCCGCGCCGTCAGGTGTCGCCACTTTAATCAGGCAGGTGGGTGAGCGACGCGACAGCTCATTAGCACGTTATAAATGTGCGTCATTAGTGCGGTGACAGTGGCGGCCGGCAGGCAGGCCGCAGCACTCATTGATCTGGCGGAGACCGGGCCGGCCGCGGCCGGCGCTGATCGGGGAGTGATCCGACCCGGGCCGGCCGGACACCGGCCACGCCAGGTGACCCAGGCTGGGCCGTGACCCGGCCGACACTGATCGGGGAGTGATCCTACCCGGACCGGCCGGACACCGGCCACGCCAGGTGACCCAGGCTGGGCCGTGCCCCGGCCGGCGCTGATCGGGGAGTGATCCGACCCGGGCCGGCCGGACACCGGCCACGCCAGGTGACCCAGGCTGGGCCGTGACCCGCCGAATGCGGCGCCATGGTGAGCAGAGCTGGTGCGTGATGACAGCGGCTGACCCAGCTAACCCAGACTGGCCAACGGTGACCAGCACCGGCACACGGACCCGGGCTCACACAAGGGGACTAGTGCTGATGCATGCGAAACCTAGGCCGACGGCTTATCCAATTGGGGCGGAAGATGCCGACTTTTCACTTATGGACAAAATCATGCATTGGTCACTGGGGCTATTTTTCGAGGTGAAATTTTCTGTCATAAACGAGTCCAAAAGGTAACTGTTTGAGGACTTAGCTGTTGTCGCTGCGGCTGGGATGGACCAAGGCACGCTGAGGTGACCGGGTCGGATTGGCGCAGCCCCTGCCCAGCTAAGAATGCGTCCGATCCTTCTGCCCTGTACTGGGCAGCGTCAGAGTGACACACCTCTGATAGTGCCATCCGGAGGGGAACGCCGCTTTGAGCTGTGTCCAGACACTGGGAGTATAAGCATTATAACCACGTGACAGCGGTCAGGGACAGCTGGGATGGTCTCGTTATTACACACGACAGGATACTACGTCATTCGCGAAACCCCACCAAGGATGCAGGGGAAAGAGATGGGCAGAGTCGGTCTGGTCTCTCACAAAAGGCGCCGAAGAAGCTCCCCACAACGTCTTGCACGAGGATGTCATTTCAAGCGTTTGTGGATGCTAGAATCTTTATCTTGGACAACTTTGCGTCACGTACTAATCGGGTACTCGCCAGCATCTGATGAATGGAACATACTGCAATGATAAATCTCAAACACGTCGTAGGGCTGCTCCCGTTTCAAAAACTTTGTCATCGACATCCAATTAACGGCAGTACTTATAGCCAGATTAGGCGGCTGGTCATTTATAAGCTGTTAATAATCTTGAACTGTCAAAAAGACTTGCTATTCAGCTTTAGCGCTAATACGCTCATACCAAATCCCATTTAATCAAGAGCCGGAAATGTGTTGTCAGGTAATTGCCACTGCAAACCCTGGAATTTCAAATACCTTAAATATGAGCACATGTGGCCTAGCAAAACGGCAAGGGAACACAGCCGCGTATTTAGGGGAAGGTCCCAGGGGCACGTGTCCTGTCACCTTTTGAGGTGTACATCACATTTTGTGGTAAATTTTGGCTGTATGCTATGCTATTTTTGCAACCAGTTTTATATCGTAATCCTCTCAAGAAACCCTACGCACGCTTCTGAGGATACATAAGCCGATGGCCGATTTTCCGTCCGGCGATGCGGGGTTGGCGCGCGCGGTGGCGGCGCCACAGAGGGCCTTCGATCGGTCCTATTCGTTCCGTGCGCCTGATCGCTGACCCCCCCCCCCCCCCTCGAAAGACACGTGGTGCAGGAGGCGGCAGGAGCCGGTAAGAATTGTCGATCAAACTGATCACCGGCGCTCCGTCGTTACCGCAGCGAGCCGCGTGGACGCAGGAGTCGCCGCCACTTCACGTCGCGGCGCCCTTTGAAGTCGGCACATCAAAGGCGCCGCCGGGCGCGGCACGTGCGTCGGACGTGCGGTCGGCGGGGCTACCTGTGCCTTTGTGACCGCCTCGGTGAGGGCTCAATACGGCACGTCAAGGGGCATTACCAGCGGGGGAAGGGGGAGGGGGGGGGGGGCGCTCGTCAGCGACCTATCCATTTGGACGCGGGCGGAGGACATGCGACAAAGTGAGCTAAGTTTGCTGGCCGCAGCGCTCTAGCATCAGTATTCCATGGAAACCCCTATCTATGCCATATGTCCGCCACCGTGCTCTGATAACAGTGTTGGATTGCTACGCGGGATACCTCTTGCAGTCCATAGCCAGACAACTCAAACCCAGCGACGCGACGTTTCTCGGAACTGCTCCAGCAGAGGTGCTCGGCGAAGGCGGGATTAGTTCAAGCACGCTCTCCGCGGCCCGCTCGCGGACAAGGCGCTGTCGTTTGAAGACCAGCCAGCAGATCAGACTCAGAATAACCATCAGGACGCAAATACTCAATGCATGTTTAGTTTATAGGTCGGAAACGGAACTCTCCAACTCTTAGCTCAGCAACTTCTCCGAGAACAACTCTCCCTCATTGGTGCAGACTTGACTGACGGTTGAAGAACGGGCGATGGACCCAGACGAAATAAAAGGTCCGCTGTCAAACCAAGGTGAAACCAACTAGCGTGTGCGCCCATCAAACCGGTGCGATACTCTATGTTGAACCTTTGACCGTTACTCGTACGGAGAGTGCAAATTTCCGTCAGACTGCAGATCACCTAGGTAACCTGCAAACTCCCTGACCAACCGAAAACTTGGAATGCCATCTAGCTGGAGTTCAAACTGCAAGCGTAATTTGCAGGCCGTGATGAAATATGAAATAACTGGTCGTTTTCTATGCTGCTCTCACTTTGTTAAGGAATGTAATGCCTAATGTTTTCCCGAAGACAGTACTGCCTGTTTTGTTCTCGAGGGTGACAAAGGTATGAGCAGCGAGTGTGAGCAAGGGAAGAATTCAGCTCCCGAATAGCGGGCATTATGAATTGTTATCTTGAAAATAATCGCCCTTAAAACACACAGGAGTGCTTCTGGCACCTGGTACATTAAAGGATTTTTTCAACACATGAGCTTGCAATGATGCGAAGATTAATGATGCCCAGCACACCGGCAGGGCCCAGTCCCGTTTTTTTCACCATAAAAAATGTGACCATAAACAGACCAGACACAGACAGCCATAGACCATAAACGACGACACGGACAGCCCCAGAAGCTGGCAGGTTGAGTGGTGACCCAGGCGACAGACGTACAGATGGATCAGACACAAATCGGTGT